GTCAAAACCCAGCAAGGAATAAATGTATCATAAAAAGAGAAGAAAATGGAACAGTTTCAAGGATCTGAAACAGACAATAGCAAACAAAAACAAAGCAAAAAACACTTCGCCCTTGTACTACACTTAATATGTATTAAAGACATTTGCAATTCGAGGGAGATAATCCATTCCAACCTATACTGAAGCTGCCTGAAGCCACAGGTCAGACTAGATGGACCGGGAGACCCTTTCTGACTTGCTGGGTTTATATTTCCTGATGTTCTGCATGCTATTATTTCCCACTATTTATGGATCAAGGAGGAAAAAGATGTTTGCTGAAGTGTCCTCGCTGTCTTAGCTTCAGCACTTTAGTAGACCCCTTGGCTGGCATCTTACGCACAGTGACCCTTTCCAGGTCCTCTGATCTAAACTGTGGGTTGATTATCACTGCTTCAATATCAAGATTGCCCTGCACCGATTTCTCAGTAGATGATACATTACTCCTTCAAGGGAACACCTTACACATATTCTGTATGCATGTTTGCTTAATATATATTTTCAGCAAGCATTTTTCCCTAATGCAATACATCTGTGTAAGTTATTCTTATTAGTATATACAATCTGTGTGCAAGCAGCTAGACAACACACTGCAGTCCCCACAATACCATGTGGTTTTATCTCACCAGGAAGCCGGCATCAGCACAAAAGAAAAGAGACTGGCAGGAAATCAGGCTACATTCTAGCTAGACTCACAGCCTCGCCCGCTCTGGAGCCTGTTCCATTCAAGCAACAAACTCCTTCTGCTGTTGCCTCTTTCCCTAGAAATAGGCAAGCCGCCATTCAGCCATCCATGCTTTTAAGTTTCAAAAGCAGCGTGTGGAATTCGAGGCTCTGAGGCTCGACAGATTGAACGTTGGCCCTTGCAATTAGAATAAGGTGAATTAAAAGCAGATCTAGGATGCGCTTTCTTTATTTCAATTATATTGAATAATTATAACATCTCCAATTATATTGTTTTTATATTGTTATTATTTATTGTTGTGAGCCGCCCCGACAAATTTATTGTTGTGAGCCGCCTTCGGCAAATGGGGTGGCATAGAAGTTTTCTAAATAAATAAATAAATATTTTATTTGGGATGTTTGCATCCCAATTCAATTCCCAGAGCAGACAACATAGTCCCAATTAAATCCCTTCGAGCAAAATTAATACTTTTTCACAGGATGCATCTAAGGGCCAGCTCTCATTTAAAATGTTGGCCATGGTCGGGTCTCACCCCAAGATGTTAATGCTTGTCTGGAAACAAATAGCATCATTCACTCAACCTAAGCAGTTCCTCCATGAAGACGTTATGGCAGGAAAAATATGGGGTTTTGCTGATGAGAATGAACGCTGTGCTCCACTTTGTTTTATTGTGAGACTGACTAGAGAGCATTTGGTAGAAAACGGTATACAAAAGTTTTAAGTAACATAAATACAAATGTATGAATGAGCAGAGGAAGGCAACATCAAGCCCTTTAGGCACTTCTGCAGTCTTGCTGTGCCTTTTAAGAACTCTGAGAATCGGAGTGTTCACATCTTCGTTTTCAAAAATGTTTTTACTCTTTTAGTGCCTGAAAACATGTTGTTAAGAGTGTATGTTGTAAGAAACACTTCTAACCTTTGCGCCTCAAAGGAGTTGCTTATATATACACAGATCTTCATACGAAGGTATACACAAACATGTTTTTTGTAAGTCGTTAGAAGTTAAAGGCACTGCAGCATTAGAGGCACCACTTGTTCAAACTGGAAAATAGTCCCCACTTAAAATGAAAAACAGAAAGCAACCCTGACCTAAGTGGATTTCTTAAAATAATAAAAATAAATAAATTCTATGCAATAGCAGCTTTGTAGCTCAGCACCTGATGGTAGTTTGTAAGCCTCTAATTGAGAGATGAAATAAAGCAGAAATGCGATAAAGTAAATTCAGTATTTACTGGACTCCATCCATGGTAACAAGCACTAAATGGCGTAGGTACACAAAGAACTAGGACTATGAGGTTTCCTTAGCCAACTCATGCGGTAGGAGAGCTGCTAACCACCAACAGAAACTAGATGAGGTCACTTCCAAACAGGATACCGGCCTGCAATCATGTGCTATATTTATAGCAACTGAAAACTTGCAACTTGAGCAGCTGTCCCCGTCTTGCAGTTCACAGCTCTACTGATGCTTCCTAATGATTCTCCAAGAAGGCCTGGAGGAGTGTTGTCCGTGGGGTCGCGATGGGTCGGACACGACTTCGCGACTAACAACAACGATTCTCTATAAGCGTCGCCTAATTTCTGTAGGTGGTTAGAGAACAGGACACAAGAGGTGGGGTGAGGGGTGGAACATTAAGATGTCCCTAATTTTTCAGGTCTCCTGGCCTACTCTGTTGCAAAGACCCGAGGCTGCTACCAACCAAAATTGCTACAAAAAGTGAAGAGTCCGTTTCTTCCTTTCAAATTTCTTGACATGTCAATAGAAGCCAATTTCTTCCTTGTCAAGAAATTTCAAAGAAGCCAAAAGAAATCTGTAAGATTAGCAAACTTTCTCGAGGGGAAAGTATATTGCCCAGTAATCTTTTACATAGAGTTAGATCTTTAAAATACCACAGGAATCCTAACGATATGATAAACAAAAGATAAACTCCTATAGAGATGGACGTTCAGATCGTGGCAAGTACGTGAGCCTGAAACCATCTGAAATTCACCAGGGAAGCAGAAACTTGGAGAACAAATCTTGATTTGCATCTTTGGTATAAATGAGTGTGATATGAGTATCTGGCTATAAATTAAATATATTTATAAATAGAATTTTTGCAGAACTGAGAGAGGAGCTGTAGTAAAAATAGCTAAAAAACTCCACTGCTAGCCTTATACCCTAAAGGTGCAGAGTAGAGAAGTTCTATCTCAGACTACCGGAGACAAAACTGGCCACATCCACATACACATCATGGGACTGAGTAAGACTAGCTTTACCTAATGTCCAAACCTGCGATCCTAGTTTGTCACTCTTAAACAAGGATGTGTAAGCCAACAACAAATGTCACTTGCTGTTGCCTTACATTTCTGGTTAGTTCAGGAGCAACAAACCAGGATCCAAGGCTGGGACATCACCACAGGCTATGGAAGGAAGGAGGAAACATAATGTTCATTCAGAGTAAGCCAGGAATCCTGGTTTATTGTTGGATGCAAGTGCAGCCATTGCCTACTTGATCTCAAGTGGATCTCCCCAGTCACAGGAAGACGAAGTCTATGATACGAATCTGCATTATCTCCAACATGCAGAGTGCTGCACACAGGAAATTACTGCCATGTTTGCCAGGAAGCCACTGTGCAATTTCTGGAAAAATCTACTCCGGATTCAAGTATGTATAATCCCTGTCATGCTTTTACTCCATCCAGTTTTCCAGGATATGACCTTCACAATCATGTGCAGTGAATTCTATCGACATAGGCCCGTTTTTGATCAGATGCTTAGTAACCCAAAGAGGATCAGGTCTGCGGGTACCGCTATTCCATGTGGAAACTCCAAGCACTGAGAGTTATGTCAGCACAAGTAACATTAGAGCCATGTGAAACACGATCCAGTCCCCAAGAGAAGTCTTGGTAGCAGCCTAAGTCCATTTATTTCTACCTAGTGCCTCCTAGAGTGAAGTCTTGCCTTTTGCTTAACACCAAGAACTAAGTCACTATGGATTAACATACTGGAATTAAAAGACCAATGCAAATAACATCAGATAAAGGAACACAGGAAATGTTTCTTTAAAGGGCACTTCTGACTTTATTGCTGACGTTGTGGAGTTTTGGGTTTAACTACTGTTTAACAAACCAAGCATTTCTAAAATATGTTGCTAGTTATTTCCCTGGGAGATCCACCCTGAGGAAATGGGTGGGTACAAGCTAGGGAAGCCAACTGGAGTTTAGCCCGCGCAAGGCTGGAAACAAACTTTTTGACCAACTCCTTCCTTCTCCTAAAATGCACAAGGTAGTTGGACACACTGAAATATCAGTTTGGGCAACAGCTGTACAAGAAAAAAAAAGACTCTCTTCTCCCAGAAGGTCTTCCATTACATTTCCAGATATTGAATGCATGGGAGAGCCTTCCAGAGTATTATTCCATCAGACCAAAAAAAGAGAGTAAAGAATCAGCATTAACCATGAGGAGTGGGAAATAAATCCAGAAATGTTTAAGATAGGAAAAACGTATTAGGTCATCTACTCCCTATTTTGCCAGCACATCGCTTGTCCTCTGGAGCAATCGGCCGAAATTCAGTTACGAACAAAGCTGCCAAGAGCGCTGCAAGTCGGCCAGCCTTTCTGCAAAATAAAGCGCAGCTAACTAAATCCCCACGGCAGATTCTGAGTCACAGAAGATTCGCAGAGTGCCAGGAAAAGTTGAACTACTTCATTACTTGCCCAGCGTTGAACAACAGGGGTTGTATTTCACATAGTTCACTGCGTGGCCCAAGTTTTAAGCCATGAATAAGAGGGATTACAAGCCATACAAAAGAAAGGCTTTTCCTTCAAAAATGCCTCGGAGGAAATTAACTTCAGCTGTCTGCTCTAGGGAGCGCACTGAGTCAAGCGAGTAGATTCAGGATGCTACAGTGTGCCAAATGCATAAATGCTTCACGCATGTAGCGGAATGCATCTTGTGTTTTGGGTGCCCCAGCTGTACTAATTAAAAGTTATGCAAATTAGGAGGGGTTTGCCACACTCGTGAAAGTACATATGCAAAGGTATGGGGAAATGTTTCTCTGAATTGCAAGTGCTGCTATAACAGATACAGATATATAGAATAGATATAGGGTCTTATAACTGAAGTGAGTTTTTAAAAAAACAGCCATGCTTCACAGCAATACCCCTTCAAACCCAAGCATTTTTGGAACTCGGAGTTTTGAATGTGAAATATCACCTTTGAATGTGAGGACATGAATCATTTTTGTCATATCTCGATTTAGGTTGTTTAAGTCTTGTACACTTCACCTGCTGTTCTTACCATGGTTGGAGTGTCTGATGGAGTCATTCAGTGCTGCACTGAATTTCTTTTGAGCCTCCGGGTCCGGGAAACAGAAATAATGGTGTCTGAGGAAAGGCTGCCACAGATAGACTGGAAATTCCTTTGGAAGGACAATGAAAGCCTGGGCATTCTCCTTTCCGTTGGAACCTTTGCAAAAAGACAACAGCAACAGTCCTTTGAAAGATGTGCAAGTTTCGGGACTCACATCCAGATTTAAAAATGATTCATACAAATAGGCGGTCCCAGGGCAACACCTCCAGCCCTGTGAGCTGGGAAGAGCGAGCTTGGAGAGCACTCGCAAGACTGACTGATCATTCACTCACCTGGTCCCCGGGCTGTTCTGGTCCACTGAACCACAGGATTTCCATATCTCGGACTCTGGAGCCCAAGCGGCTGCCCTCTCCTTCCCGACTTGCCACCTGGATCTTGGCCTTGACCTGCTCTTGCCCATGCCCTGGCTTCGGTCTTCCTGTGCCTCTCTTCCGTTTTGCATCGTGACTGCTCACCTGCCTCTGGACCCTCTCAGTCTTCCTTGTTACTTCTGACCAATGTCCCCAACTCTGGTGCATCCACCCATGATGGCCACCCATGGGCTCAGCCTAAGAAGTCTGGGGCCTGGCCTTCAACAGACCCACCGGAATACGTTGAACGATGTCAACGTAATTGACATGGTTTGAGAGCCAGAGTGGCACGGTGGCGAGGACATCGAACTGGGGACCAGGGAGATCTGGGTTCTAGTCCCCACTCAGGCATGGAGCTAACTGGGTGACCCTGGGCACGTCACAGGCTCTCAGTCTAATCTACCCATAGGGCTCATGTTGTGGGGACAAAATGGAGCTATGTAGACTAACTTGGGTTCCTCAGAAGAGGAAAGAAGGACAGATATAGATGCAATATAATGGAGGAGGAGGTTTGTGTTCTTCATTATAGCTTCTTTTTGACAGAGGCCGATTCCCTGGGCAATTCTATCATATTTCTTGGACAGACCCTCCCCATGCCGTGGGAGATACCTTTCCCCTTCTACAACAGGGCCGAGTTTTCTGCATGGCTTACGGAGCCCTTCGCAGTGTACACGGTGGGTAGGAGCACGGCTGCTTGCGTGTACCAGTTTTCCTCCAGGTGTGTTGGACCGAAACATCTATCATTCCTCGCCTGCAAGCTCATTGGTCACACTGCCAGGGAATTATCCAGGTTTCCATCCAACACATCTGGAGCATCTTTCTGGAGTGTTTTGGCCCATCAGGACTAGTACTGTCTCCTCCAATGAGCAGTGACATCAATCAGCCTAAAGGCTTCATGTAGAGAAGACTTGCAAATGGCTCTCCTGCTCTTCCAGCCTCTGTCATCCCATTTGGCTGATGTTTTAATTTTACAAGCTGCTATTTTTCTCCATACCCTGATGTTCCCAAGCACGTAGGCTGCACCTGTAGGTGTCCCCATCATGCTGGGGCCAGAAGCAACCTGTCTTACTATTAAATGCTGTAGGGAAATCCTGTCTTGTACCCTCAACTCTGTGAGAGGAAGGATGCAAACGGCCAGCCATGCCGACCTCCAAGACACTTCAAGCTACTCAGGGCTGAAGAGAGTCATTCCCTTTTGCACACTCCACCCTCCAGTCTTTTCTTGCCCAGAGGTTTTCCTTTCCTCCGAGAAAATGCAGCTAGTGACAGCCTGGCTCCTCTCCTCTTCTCCGTTCTTCCCTCCTTCAGGTGTAATCGTCCTGCTTCCTTGAAGTTGAGGGGTCACCCTCTAAGCTTTAATTATTAAAAGATTATTTTCTAGAAACTCTGGAGACCCCCTTCCTGTTGTTTGCTTTGTTTGTTCGTTTGTTTAAAACTTTTCTATGCCATTCCATTACAGATGTCTCGGGACAGTTTACAACTCCATTAATAAAACAGAATAAAAATAGAAGTTAGAATAGGAATGTCACCTTATCCAATATTAAGTTTCTCGGTAGTCCCATTTTCACTCCAATTCTTTGGCAGTCTATCACTTCAGTTAGCTCAAAAAGGACAGAAGATGGATATGCCATGCTCGTAGCGCTGTTATTCTTTACATACATATCCAGTTCATTCTCTTAGCTTCAAAGGGAGTCTATTATTGCCACTGAAGGACTACAAAGCCCTAAGGCCTCTTCAATTCCAGCCCCTCCCTAATACAGCCCCTCATTTAGACAAGCTCCATGGACAGTCCAGAGACAAAGGAGGGCGGAGAATCAAAGACTTCTTCCATCACTCCTTCTCCTCTGCTGACAGCAGTCCAGATGCAGAGATGCTCAGATGCCTGTAACATCTGGAGGCTAGTGGCTCCCCACCAGGGCTGCTTTTTAGGGTTACGAATAGAATGGAGGAAGCCCAATCTACTTCAGGCTGTTTCTGCCTTACCAGCCGGGTCTGGGAAATGTTTATCCGATAGTCTGTTATATTCTTCCTCTGTAGTCAGTACTTTGCCTCCAACAGGTACAATGCAGCTTTTAGAACTCATTCCCTTCTGGAAAGCCTGGAATTGATAAAAAAAGTAAAGGGTTTCTTTAAAAAGATGCACACAAAAATGAAGCCTGTAGAATTTTTCTGGCTTACTTCTGTTGAACAGATGAAAAGGGAGGGCGCAGGGAAGTACAGCTGTTGAGCACAGAGTTCATATTCCCGAGGACCAGAATGTTGAGTTGTTGTTATTAGTCGCGAAGTTGTGTCCGACCCATCGCAACCCCATGGACAACATTCCTCCAGGCCTTCCTGTCCTCCACCATCCCCTGGAGTCCACCCAAGCTCATGTCAACTGCTTCAGTGACTCCATCTAGCCACCTCATCCTCTGCCGTCCCCTTCTTCTTTTGCCATCTATTGTTCCCAGCATTAGGCTCTTCTCCAGGGAGTCCTTCCTTCTCATTAGGTGGCCAAAGTATTTGAGTTTTGTCTTAACTATCTGGCCTTCTAAAGAGCAGTCAGGGTTGATTTCCCCTAGGACTGACCGGTTTGATCGCCTTGTGGTCCAAGGGACTCACAGGAGTCTCCTCCAGCACCACAATTCAAAGGCCTCAATCCTTTGGCACTCAGCCTTCCTTATGGTCCAGCTTTCACAGCCATACATTGCAACTGGGAAAACCATAGCCTTGACTATATGCACTTTTGTTGGCAGGGTGATGTCTCTGCTTTTTAATATGCTGTCTAGATTTGCTATAGCTTTCCTCCCCAGGAGCAAGTGTCTTTGAATTTCTTGGCTGCAGTCCCCGTCTGTGATGATCTTGGAGCCCAGGAAAATAAAATCTGTCACTACCTCCATTTCTTCCCCATCTATTTGCCAGGAAGTGAGAGGACCAGATGCCATGATCTTAGTTTTCTTAATGTTGAGTTTCAAGCCAACTTTTGCACTCTTTTCCTTCACCCGCATCAAGAGGATCTTTAGTTCCTCTTCACTTTCTGCCATTAGAGTGGTATCATCTGCATGTCTGAGGTTGTTGATATTTCTCCCAGCAATCTTAATTCCAATTGGTGATTCATCTAGCCCCACCTTTCTCATGATGTGCTCTACATTTAAGTTAAATAGGCAGGGCGACAGTACACAGCCTTGCCGAAATCCTTTCTCAAGTTTGAACCAATCAGTGTTTCGTGTCCAGTTCTCACTGTTGCTTCTTGACCCACATATAGGTTTTTCAAGAGACAAATAAGATGGTCTGGTACTCCCATCTCTTAAAGAACTTGTCACAGTTTGTTGTGATCCACATAATCAAAGGCTTTAGCATAGTCAATGAAGCAGAAGTAGATGTTTTTCTGGAACTCCCTAGCTTTCTCCATGATCCAGCGTATGTTGGCAATTTGATCTCTAGTTCCTCTGCCTTTTCAAAATCTTGGCTGTACTTCTGGTAGTTCTCGGTCCACATACTGCTGGAGCCTAGCTTGTAGGATTTTGAGCATAACTTTGCTAGCATGTGAAATGAGTGCAATGGTGCGGAAGTCTGAACATTCTTTGGCATTGCCCTTCTTTGGGATTGGTATGTAAACTGACCTTTTCCAATCCTGCAGCCACTGTTGGGTTTTCCAAATTTGCTGGCATATTGAGTGAAGCACTTTTACTGCATCGTCTTTTAAGATTTTGAATAGCTCAGCTGGAATACTGACACCTCCACTAGCTCTGTTTTTGCTCAGACTTCCTAAGGCCCATTTGACTTCACATTCCAGGATGTCTGGCTCGAGGTCACTGACCACCCCATTCTGGTTATCAGGGACATTAAGCTCTTTCTTGTATAGTTCTTCTGTGTAATCTTGCCACCTCCTCTTAATTTTTTCTGCCTCTGTTAGGACCCTGCCGTTTTGGTCCTTTATCATGCCCATCTTTGCATGAAACATTCCCTTCATATCTCCAATTTTCTTGAAGAGATCTCTGGTCCTCCCTATTCTATTGTTTTCTTCTATTTCTTTGCACTGTTCATTGAAGAAGGCATTCTTATCTCTTTTAGCTATTCTCTGGAATTCTGCATTCAATTGGGTGTATCTTTCTCTTTCTCCCTTGCCTTTCACTTCCCTTCTTTCCTCAGCTATTTGTAAAGCTTCCTCAGACAGCCATTTTGCTTTCTTGCATTTCTTTTTCTTTGGGATGGCTTTAGTTGCTACCTCTTGTTCAATGTTGCGAACCTCCATCCATAGTTCTTCAGGCACTCTGTCTATCAGATTTAATTCCTTAAATCTATTTGTCACCTCTACTGTATATTCATCACGGATATGATTTAGGTCATACCTGAGTGGCCTAGTGCTTTTCCCTACTTTCTTCAATTTAAGCCTAAATTTTGCAACAAGATGCTCATGATCTGAGCCACAGTCAGGTCCTGGTCTAGTTTTTACTGACTGTACAGATCTTCTCCATCTTTGGCTGCAGAGCACATAGTCAATCTGATTTCTGTGTTGACTGCCTGATGTCCAAGTGTAGAGTCGTCTCTTGGGTTGTTGGAAAAGAGTGTTTGCTATGACCATTGTGTTCTCTTGACAAAATTCTACCAGCCTGTGCCCTGCTTCATTTTGTACTCCAAGACCAAACTTGCCTGTTATTCCAGTTATCTTTTGGCTTCCTACTTTAGCATTCCAGTGCCCCATGATGATAAGGACATCATTTTTTGGTGTTAATTCTAGAAAGTGTTGTAGGCCTTCATAGAACCGGTCAACTTCAGTCTCTTTAGCACCAGTGGTTGGGGCATAGACTTGGACTATTGTAATGTTGAATGGTTTGCCTTGGATTCGAACTGAGATCATTCTGTCATTTTGGAGATTGTATCCCAGTACTGCTTTTCCTTCTCTTTTATTGACTATGAAGGCTACTCCATTTCTTCTGAGGGATTCTTGCCCGCAGTAGTATACCTGATGGTCATCTGAATCAAATTCACCCATTCCTGTCCATTTTAGTTCACTGATTCCTAAGATGTCGATGTTCAGTCTTGCCATCTCTTGTTTGACCACATCCAGCTTGCCTTGATTCATGGATCTTACATTCCAGGTTCCTCTGGAGTATAGATCTTTGCAGCATCGGACTCTCCTTTCACCACCAGATGCATCAGCAACTGAGTGTCCTTTCAGCTTTGACCCAGTCGCTTCATTTTTTCTGGCGCTACTAGTACTAGTCCTCTGCTCTTCCCAGTAGCATATTGGACACCTTCCAACCTGAGGGGCTCATCTTCTGGCATCCTATCTTTTTGCCTTTTGGTACTGTCCATGGGGTTTTCATGACAATGGTACTGGAGTGGGTTGCCATTTCCTTCTCCAGTATGTCTGCTCAAATCTCAAAAGATCTTTTGGTCTATTTATTGCATCTTTATACTGCGTAATACCTGCAGCTCGCTGGGCAGTTCACAGTAATAAGGCAGCTGAGGGAAAATGCAGCTTATTTATGCATTAGGCTCGTCATCTACCCTTCGACAGGTTCTCAGGGCAGCTTACACAAAGTTAGAACTCTAACAGAACAAAAGGCTGTATTATATGAAGTAAAATACAATATGGACTTCGGGCAGTATCCCATAGAGCACTCACACACTACCAATTCCTTTTCTAGGCTGCTGATTTCCTTCTGCAAGCTGTGAGCCCCCGCAGTTTAGCTGCACAAGTAGGATTTACCACTCCGCCAATGGAGATTTAGCACCCCAAAGCACTTGTTCCCAGAAAGGAGCAGGTTGATGGAGCTCCTTTCTGTGAGCTCCAACCAACCTGCCTCCTTCCAGAAACAAACATTTCCATTCATTTCAGTTTGCCCCAGAAGTGTTGAATTGCTGTTGTGCAAGGAAGGGGGGTTGCTTGCACAACAGAGCTGATGAGGCGTAAACAACAGTGGGGAACAAGCACCCTGCTGGATTCTGCCCACTGTCAGCAGGTCAAGGAATTCCTTTCTTTCTGGCGCTGTATCTGCATTTCTACCCCCAGTGTGGAATATATACTGCCCAGACTACAGGTGTCTTCTGATGTTAAATTCACACCTCATCCACAGGTCTTCACTGGCCAGATGGACGTTCCTCTCACCCACAAGGTTCCTTTGCAACCATGCAACTAAAGCACAGAGAAGCGATTTGAGGACTCTGCCTAATAAGCAAACATATGTGGGGATTGGCTAAAGGAAGAGGACCAAAGGAAAAAAGCTCGAGGGAAGACTGAAGTTCATGGCGCCAGAAAGAACACTTGGTGGCAATATTGAAATGTGTTTCCTGGAAGCACCAAGTCCAAGCATGAAGCAGTGAGAGCAATGCTAGGCGAAAAGTAACTTATTTAGTTTGCAGTGTATCTACTATAGCTAATTACTAGATGCCCTTGAAGAAGAAACTGAAGATGAAAGATCAGTAGGTCTAAATATCAAACCTCAGTGCTTGATTAATTGACCATTTACCTCTTTGCTGTCAAAGCTTTCGACAGCATAGTTGTTATTGATCACTACGTATCTGTCCTTCCACTTCTTCAAGTCTTCGGCAAAATGCAGCGCTTCTCCTTCATAAAAGATTGTACTGGATTCTACAGGAGGCTACAGAAAAAATGGAAAAGGTTGCAGAGAAATAAAAGCACTTCCTAGAAGGCCTTCCCAGGCCCTTCTGTTGTCAAGAAAGGAGCAAAAGAGACCGTGTGTGGTGTCGTGGTTATGAGAGCAGGGCTGGGACTCAACCTGGGCCTGGATGGCTGTGGGCCAGTCACAGACTCTCAGCCCCATCTACCCTGCAGGGGTGTTGTGCGTACAGGACTGAGAGCAGGAGGTGAATAATGTAAGTCGCTCTGAGTTCTTTAAAAGAGGAAAAACAGGATATAAATCCAATAAATAAAAATAAATAAGAGATGGGAAGAGGATAAATAAAAGATAGGAAGAGGGGTGTCAGAGCCTCAAAACCCGCTGGAAAATTCACTCTAGAGAGTGGAAACTCTGGCCTAAAGCCCCAAATATATGGAGGGTAGGAATGAAAACACATTATGATAATAAGGCTGGACTGTACATTTATTTTTGTCAGCTCAACATGATTACATAGCTCCTGCCCATGCTCCTGAGTGCTGGTTTTAGTCAGCCACGCTGCTTTTGTCATGGGCTGCCTCATGCGAACATGCGGTATTAAAATCTAAAGGCCGTACCCACAGTTAGTCTGGTATATTCTGCTCATGTCCCTGAGGCTGCTGTACTGAGAGCCCCCACTGGACGGGACCTAAATCAAATTCAGTGCACGTAGCGCTTGCTTCAGCTAGTTGTCCCCCTTACTTGAGGGTTGAGCCAGGCGATCCTGGCTGGCCAAGGAGGGGGGCATGTATATCGCCCCCTTCCCAGGAAAATCTCCTGTTTGCACACACCTGACTGTCCTCTGTCCTTTCCTGACCACGCCATGAGAATCGACTCAGCACGCAACTGAAGCGTGGCCCTGACAGGCAAACCGAGCCACGTGGTCATCAAACTGCCTTCGACAGGTTCAGAACAGGTACTGCAGCTGCAGCCCCAAAGATACAACCTTTGTGTTACCTTTGTTTTTAAGAATTGAGCCTGCGGGTCTCTGTCTTGCTCCTGCTCGTTCTGGATGTGCTTGCAAAAGGACACGACATACTGGCGTTTATAGTGTGGGCTGAAATTCTTGATCACAGCTTCGGTCTTTCCTGAAAGGACATATTAAAAATGGGTTATACTTTGACTTAATTTCTTTAAAGCTTCACCACTTAGAATATAATGAATACATTCTGCCAAGACTAAAGATGATACAGAAGCTCCTACACGATGCCCAGTGGGGCAGTCCCGTTTCTTGACCTGGAAAGAACTCAACCCTTTTGTTCTGTCTGACAAAGGGCCGGTCCAGGCCTTTTTCTAGAAAGCACAGGTGAGATAGGATCTCATATCACCTGCTCCAATCTTCCCCTTGTTCTGTTTCCAGTATATCAGATGGGCAGCAGCAAAAGAGAATGGCTCTCAAGCAAAACATTTCCATCGACTCCTTTCTAGATCGTGTGGCTTTCCTCTCCACCACCAAATCTCCAGAAAGGGTCAGTATCTATTTACATGGTAGCCATGGGCAAACCCTCTCTCAGAACCTCAGCTCATTATCTGCTGAACAATACCAGGGTAATTGTACTGACCGACCTCCCTTGACTATAAGTGTTTTGAGCACCCTAAAGGGTTCTGTAAATAACAAACAACATAGTTATTTTAAATTAATCTGAAATACGATGCTCGCAGCTCTTCGTGTACTTTCAAGTGTTGTGTCTTTACTGTCAATCAAAAATGAAGATTCCATAGGTAAATAGAGTTGTAAAACTTAGGGGTTTATCAGCATGTACCCCACAGTTTTTACAAGTCAACAGTGCATACCCAGCCCTCTACTTCAAGTCCAAAACTTGACTGCATCAATTTTCTTTGCATCCATGCTGTTTACATTGCACCCAACTTAGTCTTCTCTAAACTTCTCAGTTGATGGGTTGGCTTGCACATCACAATAAGCTCTACTGAAGATAAGCTGCAGTTGGCCACTATTATTTTATTACATTTATTTATTAGATTTACACCCCACCTTTTTCCTTTCTTTTTTTAAATTGCATTTATATCCTGCCATTTTAACTCTTGTAAGAAACCCAAGGTGGCTTAAGAAGTTCTCCTCCTCTCCATTTCGTTATTGCAGTAACAACTGTGTGAGGGAGGCCAGGCTACGAGTCTGAGTCTGGCCAGATGTCATCCAGCCAGCAAGCAGAGACTAGAAGAGAGATCTTCTGCGCCTCGGTCCAGTCCTCTTAACCACTACACCACGCTGTCGCTACCCTCTTGCAAGTTTTGACTCTTCCGTCTTTGAGCTGCAAGAGGCAGGGAACTCCAGCAAGAGAACCGCTGTGCTACACTAGTTGTACACTTCCGCCTGTCGAGCCAGGCGGCTTGAGTTCCACTTAGGCACTCCAGCTGCTCCTGGGACGCCACCCCCAGAGCTTCACCGCTCCAGAAGTCCTTTTGCTGTCAGCTCTCTGTGCATCAGGCAGGTCTTGCCTTTGCTGGCCCTGGAGGGAAACCCTTTCCCATCAGATCGCAACGTGCCAAAGCGAGTGTGATAAAAGTTAAACCCGCAGAGGTTTGGTTGTTGCTGCTTAAGCTGCTTCCTGCACCTTCCAGCTTTTCTTTGTCCTCCTCTTCTGCCACCTGCAAAGCCCCTTTTCAGCCATAAGACCAACACCTCCCTACCCTGCCTGCCTGCACCAACACAAGACTGCTTTTTTTAAAGCTTCTGGCTTCCCCTTGATTCTTAAAAGAGGTGCCTTGACTCCTTCTTCCTCCCAAGGTTGACGGATGATGGTTTTTTCCTAGCAGAGGAAGTGTGTACATATCACCTCTAGGTAAAATCATGCAACCCCAGTTCAGGACTGTGATTATTTAGGAGGGGAAATCTAAGCTTTCCCTGTTCTGTTTTCATATTCAAATCCCCCCCGTGGGTTCTGAAGCCTTTTTCAGCTCACCACACACACCGTGAAGGAGGATTTTGGCATGAAGAGAGGAGTGGAGGGGTGCAGAGTGAAGTTCAGACGATGCAACAAGCTGCACTGAAACCAACACCGCTTGCAGCTCACTGTGGTTTATTATTTTGTGTGAATCCAATTAAAGCCAGCCCTTTCTAGCAGCATTCTGCAAGATCTGTAGGATTACTCATTTGGTTGAGCAGTCCAGTGCTTGGCCCCTCCGGCAAACCGTGGCAGCCAGATGGTTGTCCAGCACATGGCAGATATTTCAAATGGTAGGTATTTCGTGAGAGGAGCCGGATGGAGCCAGGGGTCAGACTAGATGACCTGCTCTGTTACTCTGTCCGGTGTGCAATGCATGGGCCACGCAACTGCAGTCTTAAGACTGGTGTATCCGGCTTCCCATGTGTTACTGAGCCCAGTTCGAGGCACTGACTCTTTCCTAGAAAGGCATCAATGTTCTGGGGTCAGGAGTTCTGCCAGACCACCTCCTCCCTTATCAACCTGCTCGAGCGACCACCCATCTATATGGTTGTCTCAGGAGGCCATCTTTCACCACTGACTGGGGCTAGCTTGGTGGGCACTCAAAATGTAGCACTTTCTGTGAGTACCATTACTGTGAAATTCACCCCCTGGGGAGATTAGCTTGATCCTGTCTTTAGTATGCTTCAGACAGTCAACAAAAGATGTTCTAACCCACCAAGTTAATGGTGCTCTATGCCACTCTTTGATTTTATTGCAATGAATGTTTTTCCTGCTTTATTTTATTGCTAAGATGTATTAGCATTATTTTTTTTTACTCTCTTTAAATCTGAATTTGTATATTGGCGTGAGCACTCAAAAGGTAAAGGGGCAATTTGTAAATATGTAAAATTAATAAGCGTGAGGTTACAGTGTATGTGGAAGAAGCATTGCTACATCTGTCCGTGGTTTACTGTATTGCTTCCTTCCAGCTGTTTTGAGTTCTTTGAACACTTCAATGGTGTTTTCTCCTTTCATTCATAGGAAGACATCCACATCCTTAGATTTCTCAGTAGACCTAACTGATGGTCTCCAAAACATTCACAGTGTATTTTGCTGAACGAGTTTCTCTCCCTATCCATCCAAAATATTTCCAGCTGCTTTTGGTTGAAATCCATTCCTATGGCAACTTCAGTGTTTTAGCACATGGGAAAGTAATATTAGATAATCCTTGAATGCTTTTTTCATCATCCTTTTAGCAACAATGACCACTTAAAAACCCCTCTGGTAACTTTTTCTAATTTGCTCCTGGAAAAAATATTTTAACTTGCTCTTCTGTTATGCGGCTCCATTACACAAACGAAAGGCATTTTGCTTTGTTAAGATACAGTTTTTCTTTTATAACAACAGACAATTCTTCCTTGTCGTAGCAGTGAGAAGTTCAGAGCAATCACTGAAATCTTCTGGGGACTACAGGATATTTCAAGATTATGGTGAGAACAGTGGGTTGGAGAATGGAAAAAGGGAAGGCTGGTTTTTCCCACTGGATGAGCGGTCATGTTGAATCTAGCAGTTCTTCTAGGCAGTGGGGCTACCCAGAATAGAGAAGTCGAAGCTCCTCAACCTCTAATTCCTAATAGGAGAAACTGTCAAAACTACATACAAATTAACTAAATTATTGTTTAAAAAGCGACCCACTGAAACAAGAGAAAAGACACGCTAATCCCTTACTCAGAAACTGTGGGGACTCACCAAACAAGAATGGCAAAGCAATGCATTCTCTTAACCACCGTGAAAGAGTAGAGCCCAAGAAGGCATGAAAGATGGGTGGAGATGACTCATCTTTCTTCCTGCCAACAGGAAGTCTGTTTGTGCCAAAACAGTGGCAGAAAGCTGACTGGCTATGACACTGTGGGTTCCCCCACAAGCCGGAAATGGGGAGCCAGGCTCTGTTCGTGTGTCCAAGCTGTTCACCCTCATCGTATGTTCAAGCTGCCCGCCCATGTAAATAAATCTTGTACCACGAAGGTACCTTCAAGCTCCAGCAACCTTGTTCTAAGGATACCGAATCCTGGATAGCCACAAACCCGACAGCATGAATTGCTCCGAAGTGGGGTGCTTGCACACAAGTTCATTAACTGCATTCTGTATGGATTAACTGTTTTGCAATGGATTAATTAACACATTAATGCAAAGCAGTGCCTTTGTACAAATCTGTTTGTACACAGAAGTACAGAAGAGGCAGGCAAGTGAGACTCGGAGACAGGAAACAGCGAGTCTGAAAGCAACACGAATTTTCCTGCCTCGTCGATACAGTGGTGTCTTTCCAACTACTTTGTACAAAAAGCGTCCTCCTTCACAACATGGGAACGTGTTTCCTGGTGGGAATCTACTGGACTGTGAACAGCACGAACCCTGATTTAAGTGGGCAACCTCAAGGGAGACTCCAGACTGCATTGGCACTCTGGCCACCAGACCTCTGCCCGTGTTTTTTTTTTTTTTTTTTACTAACCCTGTTGAGGGTAGTCAGGACTGCCCGAGACCTACAGGCCCAGAGAAATGTTAATTATCTCTTTCTAAGGAAACTAAATTCCAAGTAAGCATTGGAAGCCCTGAAACATCTCAAACGGAGTGGACGTGCAGAACGAGATAAAGAAATTAGTATCGTGAGCTCATCAGCATGTAATGCGGACCTCAAACATTGCTTGCTTTGGAGTGAAAAGGTTAAAATGACACCTCTGGAGTCTTCAGCAGAGCTTAATTTTAGGGATGGAAGTTCAAACCATGGCACCTCCTCAGGAATTGGGGGCCTGAAGCCACTCTCCTGTCCCCAGGGACAAAAGCAAACATCTACAAGAGCTGTGCTCCAGTGTTCACACATGCCTTTGATGCCTTTGACGTACACTTCGAAGGAAAACCTGGGAGAACAATGCATAATTCCCTGAAAGGCTGATTCCTGAAGGGAGAAGAAGCAACCCAATTCTATATGCGGCTGGAGAAAGAACCCTTGGAAGGAAGTGTAGCAACTGTGCATTATACAGCAGGAATACCCAACCCAGCACGTTCCAAGAGTGTTGGACTACAACCTCCATCCTCCCCAGAGAGAACAGCCTTGGCCAGCTGCTATGCTGGCTGAGGAAGGTGGGAGTTGTAGTCCATCCATTCAGGAGGGTGCCAAGTGGGTGGCGGGTTGTGAAACTGTGACA